GTCTAGTTAGGCCTACACAAGAGAAAAACGATATTATGTAAGGTTAATGAAAAAGTACATGTGCAAATTCTTACATTTCAGGGTCCTTTGGAAAGCTAACTAATGCTAGGTCTGGTATTTATGCGATCTTGAATTGGCACGGACGCAGACTGCCGCAAAACACCACTTACACTTGCAGGTGACTTGCGACTGTCGATAGCCGCCATTAGCTTTGTTTACCGCGCCTCGTTTCACAATCAGCTGGTGACCTGGATACGCGAAAAGAGACCTCGTTTCCAGTCTCTATTTTTAGTGTCTCTGCTCTCAATAACAGGGGAAAGCACTCTAGATTTATTTAATGCCAAAGAGGTTATAATAGTACTAGAGGTTGCAGCTGTGACGTCACCCGTGTAAATGCACAAAGCTATGGCTATGCTGGCCCACTCAGCTCGCTTTGTCACCATTTTTGAGAGAATAAGAAACAGCTACGCTTTCACACTGTGCGTCCCTCGCAACGCCTAGGTCTCCATAGAGTTTAAAGCTCAGTTCAGTTTTCTTTTAAGTTTTCTTTTTGTTTGCTGTTGTTGCTTAATCACATAACATACACGCTTACACAATACCGCACCTGCTGACCGATTGTGGGAAACATGATATTAATGCACTTAAATGTGGGCTACTACTGAACAGAGAGATATAATATGAGGTATCGTTTGTTTTTTCCCCGGTGGGTGGGTGAGGGGCGGAGAGAGACAAAGTGAGTTACTGAGTTTGTTTAGAAAAAAGAACAATTTCATACTCACAAAATGGATTGCTTTCATGCCATGATGTCTACACTCTCACTCTCCTTCTACTTATGCAAAGCCTATGTCTTCATAGACTAGAGTATGTATAGGTTAAGACTGCATTAATTATTTAATATTTTATTGTCTCAAAATGAGCAATTAATTGTAGGCTGGGATACTGTAAATCACATCTTGTATCTGCCTCCTGTGCGTTGTTTAATACTGATCACAAATAATATAATATACTGTCAATGTCAACATTTTAAAATGAAATACTAAGATAAATAGCCGGTTTACCGTTCACATTTTTTTTCTAGAATTGGCGTTGATTGCCAATGGTGTTTGGCTACACTACACCCCATCTTCCATGAACCCCTTCTGATGGCTCTCGTAGCCTAGAGGTTAAGGTGTTCACCTCTCAATAAAAGGTCCCGGGTTCAAATCTGGGTAGCGACCGAAAAATGTTCTTGTCTAAAAGAATGGTCTCCTTTCATCTCCTTTTCGGTTCTCTAGGAATGTTCTGTCGTTTGCTTTCGTCTCCACTTTCTACCCCCACCCTTAAACCTCCTTTGACCCCTCCTCTAGGCTCCTGACTCTTTCTGTAGCCTTTCTACTCTACTGCTACTTCTTAGCTCCTTCTTACCGCCTTATTTCAGCCACATCCCTGATCTTCTGGTAGGAAAGATCTACACCTAGTCTTTTCGGACAAGGGCGAACAATCTCGGAGGTCTCGTGTGCAAGTTGGGCTCATTAAAAATCCCTTGGTGGTCTAAAATCGATAGAGTAGGCTTTGGCCGCCACCCGGGCAAAATTCAAAATTTCCTACCAACTGTAAATGTTTGGGGTGTCCCTCACACTCGCACTCATGTGACCTTATGCTGTTGTAAGCGCCGTAAAACACTTAGGCTACCCAAAGAAAATTAATTAAAAATTACCCTTCTGACGCTGTTGAACATGCTGTTTGGCATCGGTTCTGCAAATGAGACAGAATGTTACGCTGGTCTTATTGGTGGGTAGTTACGCTTGGTTGGCTACTTATATACATGTACTCAGGGGCGAAGCGTCTATATAATCAAATAATCACTGCTTCCCTTCCTAATTTTGAAACACTGTCGCTGTCAAATTCACCTCTTATGAATTCCGGATTTGTTTTCATTCACAATTCACAACTCAGAGTCGCCGCCTCGAGTAAGATTCTTGTGTGATATCTACAGGCCATCTGGTCCCGTTTCACTTTGATTACCCTGTCAAACAAGTCAACCTTCGCCCCTGCATGTAATCTCATTTCAACAACATCATCAGTGATTCTTTTCCGTTCAGCCAGCCGTGAAGGTGTGCTAGAGTTCCAGCTGAAGCTTCTAGCCTCAGTCACACTCCTGAGTCCAGAGGGCCGATACATGCAGTGCTAAATCTAGACACACTGTTTGAGCAACGCACAGCAAAATATTTCAATAAAATATACGTTTTTTTATTTTATAAAGTGATAATCAAGTCCATCTCATTCATATTTTCTTAATGTTTCTCTCCCATATGGTCACACCGAAGAAAAAAGGCCCAATATTTGCATTATTTGAAGATTATTTGACTAATTTAAAGGTGAGCAATCACAAAAATCTCTATGAGTACATTTTAGCGATAGGCAAATCACATGAAAAAGAAATCAACATCAAAAGACTTCCCAGAATTTCATAATTCCGTGATTGAAAAGTGTTGTTGTTTACCGACTGGCGTTTTCTTTCTCTGCGGAATGACAGCGAGCCATCCCGATTTTGACACTCGTGACGTCAAAGCTAAGACCTCTAGTTCTATTTATAACCTCTTTGATTTCGCGCAAAGACCACCCTGAATACTTTGATATCGGGGTAGCCTAGGTAGGCCAAAAAGAAGATTGCCCTCGCCTTCAAACTAGTCAGAGTTCAGTAACCTGTTGAGCTAAATGATAATAATATGCAAGTTAGCCGCAAGTATCACAATTCACCATGTCGATGTATGTATGTATGTATGTATGTATGTATGTATGTATGTATGTATGTGTGTATGTGTGTATGTGTGTATGTGTGTATGTGTGTA